TTGGCCTCTGGGATGTGTTTCACTGTACAGAGGAAAAACCCTCTCTTTGGAAAACCCAAATCTGTGTGCATGCACAGGCGTGTAAAGCAATGGGTGCTCTGAGGTGGTCACTGGTGACCCTCCGCGGCACACGCACTCCCTGTCAGTGTTTATTTATGCAATATTTGTGTGTGAAGTGATGGACACCCTGAAGTGGTCACCCGTGCGTACTTTACACAACCTCACCTCTGCGTGTGAAAATATGTGTATGTGTGAATGACAGGTGCTCAAAGGTGGCCATCTATGTCAACCTCCTCTGTGTCACCAGCTAGTAAACAAGTGAGACTGAGACAGAGCAGGAGGAAAAGCAGGGGTTTACTGAACGAAAGACATAACCGCTGCTGGAGATGTAAATGAAAAGTGACACTGTGGGTCTATATCTGTCTCCTCCGTAAGGAGGCATATGAAAAGGAAACAGTGTTTGAACCTTCTCTGGAGGATGCAGCTCGAGAATATGTGAAGTAATTCTCTCAATCTCTGTGCGAGTAATGCTCTAAATGGGAACCTGCATCCAACATCAATCTTCATGTACAGTTACTGTCTGTCTAAACATTATAATTCAGTGGAGATTTACTACTGTGCTACAAACAGGCTGTGTTTACCACAGCTGTCTAATACTGGAGGCATTTATGAGGATAACTGAAATGCATTTCATTCAAATTAAAAAATACTGAATGTGACTTTCACTTTTATCCATGTTTGCCTTTTAGTGGCTGGAGAAATGGAAAAAATATCACTGGCGGTACTGTTTACATCCCCTTTTAGTTGCTTTGCTTTTTACAGCAAGAAGAAACATAGCAAAGACATTTTAGACACATTAAAAGAGGTTCTATCTTAAAAAGTGCTAAATATATGGATCAAATACTGAAAGAAGATTTCTGATATAACCAGACAATACCATATTAATATGAATTCTCAGAATTAGCCATCCATCATAACAAGTCTGCAGGCCCACAGAAAACAACCCCATAGATCATTGTGTAAGATGTTATTTATAACCAATAGTCACCTGTTAAGGTCAACACCCGAGTCAGAGTCACAGGCTGAGGAGGAGGAGTAGCAGCAATCTTCCACTCTAGCTTATTAATCAACCAAGGACCAAGACAACATTTTAATTTATCCGAAAGTCTTCTGTCAGACTCAGGCTTCTTATTTATCATCCGCCTGGTGATAGATAGTCGTCAGTTCAGATACTATAATTCTACTTGTTTATCTTAACACCCATGTAGATGCTAAAAAGGAGAGACTCAGAGTGAATCACACTCTGAGTCTTGTTCTGACATTTGGCCTACAAACCAAAACTTTTACTGTATTCATTTCAAATCCTCTTTAGTTCTGTTTTCTCTCTGTTATCGTTGGGTCTTTGCCTTAGACTATAAAAAGTCTTAAGGTGACTGTTGTTGTTATTTGGTGCTTTATAAATAAAATTTCATTCATATCCTAGAACACGTAGCTTTCAAATACAACTAAACTTAACTAAACTTAACAAACACGATGAAAGCAAAACTTCAAATTGTGGAAGAACACAAACTCAGCCGCTGGTGTTCTTCGAGCAGCATCTTAAGTCCCGTTAGCTTGGCAAAGTTATTAAAGTTGTGTTGAACTGAGAACCTGTTGCTTGTGACAGTTCCCCAGCTGTTAAAAGTGCTTACAAAATGTTACGTCGGTGTAGAAAACAGCTGTTATTGTTTGTATCAAGTTCACCACTTGAAGCCAAGTCCAGTCATGATAAATTTCAGCACTTCAGCCAATCATTCCTCCAGTGTTTCAGTTTGGATGTCTGAATTAGAGGGAATGCGAGTAGATAAACAGCTACAGAGTTGTAGGTTTATAGCAGGTGCACCATCCCGAAAATGCAGATAACAGGATATATCCCACCGCTGTGGTCCACCAAGGAAATCCTATCCAGGGAAAACACAAATGAGAATTTCTTAAAAAGTCTCCTTAGTAAATCTTATTAAACCAGCACTTATTTAGTTGAGATAATTACATTGAAAAATAATGTGATCATGACAGGATACATAATTCAAAAATCCCTGTCACAATATAACAATGTTCTCCTTTTTATCCACAAGAAGTTCTTCTTCAAAATGCCAGTATCTGTCCAATGCTCGTCTGTAAGAGCAGTCTCATTAAAAGAGATCGACGCACAAGTTGTGAGAAGCTGGGTTTTTCTCTGTGTATGGGCTAGTTGTAATTTTAGCCCCAAATAAAGTGATACACTGGCTATACTGACTGATACTTTACAACCCATCTGAAACATCACACTGCTCATGTTTCTTGTACTTTTTGGACTCTGCTCAGAGCAAAGTTGAACAAAGGTATTTCCAAACTCTAGGACCCCACGTTGTGATAAATAGGAATGATTCTAGTCTAGAAAACATAGTGTTCCTTTGAACTATGTTGCACATTTGGCCTCAACTCAATCACTGATCTCAAGGTGCCTTTGGCAGTGTCAGGC